ACCTAAATCCAAATAAATAGAGACACACCCAAAGTTTATCATTTTGATTTTGAGAACATCGATTGTTTCCAGATAATTTGAAAGTCAATTGTAGGTGAAGAAGAAGAAGAAGAGAGAGATAGAGATAGAGAGAGAACATCGATTGTTTCCAAATAATTTTGAGAACATCGATTGTTGCGAAAAATCGAGGTTTTTTTTTCTTTTTGATTTGTAGGTGAAGAAGAAGAAGAAGAGAGAGAGAGAGATAGAGAGAGAGAGAGAGAGATAGAGAAGGGGGTACGATAGGTGGAGTCGTGGAGAGGGGTAGGGTGACATTTTTTTTATTTTTTATTTTTATAATATTTTTTAAATACTAAACTAAATAAAAAAATGGAAAAAAATAAATAATAAGGGTAAAATAGGCATTTCAACATTTTCAGGACCAAAACCAAAATAAATTCCTGATTTTGGACCTTCAATGCAAGTCGGAAACTTTTTGAATCGTATCCACAGTTTTTGTGAGACCACAGGGACTAATTTTGCAGTTTTGTGTGACCTTCACTTAAATTCATGATGTGTTTTTTTTACTGAATCCGGTAAGAATTCAAACTGTTTGATACCAAAATTAAAAACTTATGATTCGGCTCTGTAGCATCTTATATGCATCTTGCCGTGTCTAATAAAAAATTGAGTCTGACTCAATTAGCAATTATCAAACATACCATAATTCTTAAAAGAAAACTGGATAAATGTTAATTCAGTCATTTTAAATTGGCTGGGGATTAAAACCGTAACAAAGCCAATACTTCCGGACCAGTTTTGTAATTTCTGTAAATATTATAAAAAAGGGTTCATACGCCTTTTATCCAACCCTATTTGAAAATATACTCCATTACCACATACTACATGGACCATGGCCAGTACGGCCAGCAGGCGTTCACCACCGGCCACACAAGACTCCATTTTAATTCAAGAATCCCTTCACTTGACTCGGAAGTACCATTTTACATGCGTCAAGTACTAAACCCTAATGCACCACCACCTCATACTTTTCGTGACAACCCCACCGTCACTCCTCCACCTCCCCCGCCTGCATACTCACCTCAAACGGGATGGAATGGCTTTAACAGCGGTATCAACCTGAACCATGGTACCACCAGTTATGCTCAGAGTACTACCATCCGATGGCCAAGACAAGAGACACTTGCACTTCTTGAGATCAGATCTCGACTTGACCTTTGTTTTAAAGAAGCCACATCTTCAAACCATAAAGCCCCTTTGTGGGATGAAATCTCGAGGTATGTTAGCTACTTACGTCTTGTTAATCGATCCGTTCATATCAGTTGTTGTCTCAACCACAGTCTTGAATCTTTTTAATGACTTATTTTGTTCTCGATCGTGATGTAGGATAATGAATGAAGAGTATGGGTACCAGAGAAGTGGAAGAAAATGCAAAGAAAAGTTCGAAAATTTATACAAGTATTACAAGAAGACTAAAGAAGGCAAAGTTGGAAAACATGATGGTAAACACTATCGGTTTTTTCGCCAACTCGAATTCCTCTTTGGAGATCAACATGATCACCGAAGTATCAATAGCAATATCGTTATTCATCCCAGCAGCCAATCGAATAATTCTGCTGAACATGGAACACCATCGTCAGAAAAGATCCGAAGTGATCGTAAGTTGAAAAAGAAGGAAATGATAGCTGTAATTGAAGAGTCAATGGAATCACAATTCTCGAAACTAATGGCTAAACAAGATGAATTTGGCAAAAAGATATTGTGTACGATCGAGCGTAAAGAGCATGAGAGGGAGGTCAGCGACGAGGAATGGCGAAAACAAGAGGCCGCTCGATTGGATCACGAATGTGAAGCTTGGGCTAGCCATGTAGCACGTATAGAGACTCGCGACGAGTGTTTACTAAATGCTTTACAAAACCTACTTAGGGTTAGATCGATTGGATCTAGTTACAGAAGCATGATTCCTATGGAGAATTCTAAAGAGATAAATGGGTGCCTTGGTAATTACGAAAAACAAAAAGATTGGATCGAAACTGAGATCTGTAGCTTGATTCGTATACGAACAGAGAAAGAATGCAGATTTCAAGATGTTAATCAAGAACATGGGGAGGGCCTTTGGCAGGAGGTAGCTTTCGAATTGTCTCTTTTGGGATACAGTAGAAGTGATAGCGAATGTAAGGAGATATGGGAAAAGATTTGTGTGGATTTTAACAAGACGAAGATGGAATGCGAGAACATGAAGAAAGAGGATTCTTCAAGAACGAGCAACTCCATGGACGACAAGGAAGATCGTAATAGTTGTTTCAGCGTCACCGCAATGAACATTGACGGCGAGCGTTCGTGGGAAACTATGTAATATTCCAGGTGAGTTAAATCATGTATTTATGCAAGTGAAATTAATGAAATTTTATCAAAATGCAAGGGGCATATATGAAACTTCTATTTTTATATGTTACAAAAACAAAAGTTATACATTTTTTCTTACAAAACTTGAGCATTTTCTTCATTCAAGTCCTCAAGCAAATAGCTTTCTATTGGGATTTAGAAGAATTTGTTTCATATTGTCTCATATATGGTTTGTAATACGTAAGAAGTCGATTTGATATATGATTTTTTAAGCGTCGTTTCTAATGTGTATACATGTATGTATGCATACATACGTGTTAAGTTATATATACATACCTTATTGCCTTTTACATAAAATACTGTAAAAATATAGCTTTCAATGATAAAGTCGGCATGTCTACATTTTTTCAATTCTATATTATATATAAGAAATAATATTTAAACTCTATAAGAACATATATATACCATTAACGAAATCCTCCCAAATAAATCAAAATCTTTTAGCCACATGTCATTTTAGACCTTCATTTGAATACATGACATTTTCTAAATTTTTTGAATTTTTTATTTTCCACTTGTCATTTTATTGTAATTTTCATTTTATTAAATTAAAATTACACATTTAATATGTAAGGTAATATATATGTAAAGTATTTATTAGAAAGAATTTATATATGTAATGTATTCAATGTATTAAATTCTCATTAATTTTAATAATGCAAAATTTTTCTCATTTTTCTTATAAATTCAAACCTTTTAAATTGTAAAAGTTTCATATTTAATTTTTTTTAAAATAAACTCATGTAATACATGGGTCTCACACCTAATACTATATTAATAAGAAAACTTGTAAAATAAAACCATCAACCTTTTGCAACTTCGTGAACAAAGGAGGCCAAGTTTGAATACCACTTCAAGTTTGCTAGACATTTCATTATAAGTCCATAATCAAATTATTTAATCCTCCCTAATAAATCAAAATCTTTTTGCCACATGTCATTTTCCCCTTCATTTGGACACATGACATTTTCTAAATTTTTTTAATTTTCTATTTTCCACTTGTCATTTTATTGTAATTTTCATTTTATTAAATTAAAATTACACATTTAATATGTAAAGTAATATATATGTAAGGTATTTATTAGAAAGAGTTTATATATGTAATATATTCAATGTATTAAATTCTCATTAATTTTAATAATTCAAAATTTTTCTCATTTTTCTTATAAATTCAAACTTTTTAAATTGTAAAATTTTCATATTTAATTTATTTTTAAATAAACTCATGTAATACATGGGTCTCACACCTAGTACTATATTAAATAAGAAAACTTGTAAAACAAAACCATCAACCTTTTGCAACTTCATGAACAAAGGAGGCCAAGTTTGAATATCACTTCAAGTTTGCTAGACATTTCATTATAAGTCCATAATCAAATTATTTAATAAAAAAGAATGCTGATGGTTTATTAGTTAGAAGTGAAACCTGAAAGTTAGGTTTAAGATTCAAAACGGAGCATACTACATTGACCGTTGGTACTCAATGATTTACGACTCTTTTGATGATGACCTCTGGGAAGATTACAATGTGTGATCACTAGTTGTATGACTTTGTTAGATGTCATATTTCGAAACAAACTCTTGAACATAAAGAAAACACTATGACTCTTAAGATCAAGCTAATAATAGTAATTAGATGATTTTAGTTTCATCAAATATTATAGGTAATTGGAATTTAGACGAATATTCAAACGGATTTAAGCTACATTCAAAGACATGTAATTAAGGAGGTGCATAATTCACCCCATATAAGTTAATTTGATCCTTAACACAAAAAATGGTGGGGGCCAAGGTGCTCCTATGGGGTTCGAAGCAACGCCCTACACTACAAGAATAAGTAGTTATAGGGACGAGATGTATAGCGACGACAGTTGTTGTTGCTATAGGCTCCCTATAGGGACGATATGTCGTCACAATAGAGTTGACCATCGTTTTTTGACTTTTGAAGCTACGACGACAACTACTCGTTTCAACATGTTAAGCGGGAAAAAAATGGGTTTGGCGCGTTCTTGTTCACTTATGGAGACGACTTATCGTTCTTATAAATAACAAAAATTTAAGATAGCGATTATTTTTAATCCATTTAAAGAAATGAAGTCATTTTGAGGATAACTATTGGCACGACTTGTCATCCCCATGCCAAATATATATA